CCTCACACCAACACACAGAGGGAGTGCCCGACGCTGAAATGCCTGCTCTAAAATGCAATGGCACTATGCTATAGCACCGCTACTCCACCCAAGCAAATTTTTGTAATTTAGGGTCTAAACGTGACATTTGGTTATGGATCTTCTGACGGACACCCACGAGCCATGCTGCCCGGAGCCACGCCGTGGCAGCCCCGGGCTGAGCACCGTGCTTGGGCAGCCAGGCGGGGGTCTGATCCCACTTGTGGTAATCTAAATCCCATATAACTCCTTTAATACCCAAGGAGGTCCTGCAGACTTGGGCTGCCGTAAATCAGATCACAGTGTGCACCTAGGATTTTAAAATGCATTACGAGAAACTACTTACTTATCACAGCAATGTAACGATCACGCTTTATGAGATGGCAGCGTGGAACGATTGATTTGTTATGGGTTTTTTTATATAGTACTAAAAACGAGCAAAAAGTAAGTTAGGGGAAGCTGAAATCAAGACCTGCAGAATGAAATAAGACTCATTGCACAAGGGAAAATGGAGAGGGGAAAAAATCCCAACATTAAAATCTCTCTGGCATCTACCAAAAGCTCTGTTTGCAAATAAGTAGTAATAAATTACGATACATCCTCTGTGCAAAAAATTATACGACATCTGAATGACTGGAGCGAACAGACTTGTAGGCACCTTGCAAGGAGCAGGAAAATATATAACATAACGTACAGAACTGACAGTATCAAATGAGATCAAAGGTTAATTTACAGGAAACCCGATACAGTTACTCACTTGTTGATCTTGCAGTTTAACTCCAACTACCCTGAAGGTGTTAGTGGCCGTGTTGTGGTATATGTTGATTCTGCTGAATCCCTGCTGTCCAGGTTTGATTGGCACCCATTTCTTACTGGTATCGTCATAGACCATAACTGAAGCCCGGGCTTGGCAAATACTCTGTTCGCTGGGGAGCAAAACCAACAAAATCAGGAAAAAAAAAGCTGTGAATTTGCTGCATACTAGTGAAAACATCTAAAGGAAAATAAACCAACAGAAATTATCAGAACTACTTACAACGTATGTTTTATAAGAGATCTGCTAAACCGTTGAATGCAATCTGCCTGTTGAATTAAAGCTGGCATGTATGTGTTCATAGACTTAAAAAAACTCCAATATGCTGCTGTTTTGAACTGATAATCTATTTCACATAAAAATATTAGGCCCTGAGGAATAAGCTGTATCACATAAACGTTATGAAAACTGTCCAACAGTATGAATGCTCCATTTATTTTATGTACCTATTGGCAAGCGAAGCTTTTCACATTTGCATGAAAACTTACCAATATTTTACAGCTTACTGACAAAATAAATGTGACATCCACAGCTGAGTTACACATTTAAAACTGGAAGCGAGCAGACCTTGAACCAAAAGCCACATTAGGTAAACTGAAGAAATCAATTACGTTAATCCAGCTAACGCCTAATACCCAGACCTGCTGACGCACTTACAAGTCCCAGAATACACGGTGCAAAGTACAGAGGAACTCTTTTTTCCTTCATCCTAGTAGCAAAGAAAGTGGGAAAGGGGAATCCGTGACTGTCTGCATTCCAGTGTTAAAGCATATAGCTATTGTTTGGTATATCATTAATAACTGTATTTCTTCTCTAGATTCACAGAAATTCACCAGTTCTTTACCCCTTGCTTGCATGTTCATGACTAACGTATACCAGATTCATGCTAAAACACATCCTTCGTGCGCAAGAAATGCCACTGGCAAATTCTGTTGAGGTGACATGTCAATACAGATCAGGATTTCAATCCCCGCTCTCCTGACTCCCCAGCCACTTTTCTTATACCAGAGGAAATAGAGTTCCTTATATGAAGAAAAAAATGAGTCCTCCAAATTTTGGAGATTTGAGATCTTCAAATGTAACAGGGATTTTCAGCAAGAAAATAGTGCATCTTAGGCCTAAATAAAACTGTTAGGACTTATGTCCTGCAAAAATCTCAAGTTCATGACTGTCCTATTAACTTTAAATATAATTATATATAACTCCCTTCGTTTGCCCCAGCCGTATTAAATAAATTTCAGCAATGCAGTATCAAGTGGTAATCTGCTTTGTACACAAATCCTTTTTTCCCCCCTCTTGCATATACTTTGTTTTGGTTTTGCCTTAGTAATGCCTCGCTAGCACACAACCAAATAAAGAAGAAGCTCCTGGGTGATGCTACACCATATTGCTGCGCTGTCACTGCGCCAAATTGGACATTACACCAACCGCAGTAAACCCAAACCCACCCGGCCCCGTCATTCCATCATTTTAATGAAAGGGAGCACGTTACTGTAAGTACTAAGAGGATCTAGGTAGATTACAGCAGCAATTTTCAATCTTTTCTGCTTTGTGGGTCTCAAAAAGATTTCCAAGGCAGATGCATCCCCATTGTACACTAAAGTCTATTGACTCTGGCTTGTTTTATCAGCCACTTCGCATAGCCTCCAGGTTGCCCACAGACCTCCTCCAGGCTGTGGGCGAGAGCCTGAAAGCTCTTCACAATGTTTACAGAGGGAGCAACGATGCTGTCAGACATGTCCATAAAGAACAAGGTAAGAAAATTCAGAATAAATTGCATTTTTATTATGTAGCATGGAAACAGCTAGATTCTGTTCCTGGAGCAACACATTCAGATCAGAAAGACTAAACATTATTTTATTTATACTCTTCAGAATTTATAAAATCAAGCTCGTTCACCAGTCACCATTGCTTTGTTATGCGAGATACCTGGAGAACAGCTGCGCCTTTGCTGATGTACTCACCCAGCAAATACCTCTCTGTCCTCTTTTTTTAAGGTAAGCTCATGTCTCACGGCGGCTTCTCCATATCTGACACTAGCAGCTGAGGGATTTGAGCTCGCTCCAGCCTGCCTAATCCTCCAACTGGTGCGAGAGCTGCAGGCTGGCAGCCGCGGCGGGCAGCGGGCGGCCAGCCGCGGCGGCATCGCCTGCGTCCTCCAGACCTGCCTGGGGACCCTGGCTCTGCCTCGGATTCACAGATGGGGAGGACAGGAGAGAAACGCACCAGCAAAAAGGGGAGTACGCCCGATTAGCTTTGCCGTGTGGAAGTGGAATGGCTAAAAATAATCTCTGGTGTGGTCCTGTGGCTAGATGGTGCCCACCTGCCTGGGCTACCAGGTGTCTTGTGGCACCTCCAGCTCCAGAGGTGGGGGGAGCATCAGCTGCCCAGGGCCACAGCAACCCCCTGCCCAGCGAGCCAGTGGGCTACCAGAAACCTTGGTCTCTGGGAGGGTCACGCTCGGCCAGCGTGACACCAGATCCTTCTTCTCAGGCTCGCTGCTGGTCGCTACAAGCCTTGCTGTACTAAAATAAGCAAGAGCACACCACTGGTTTCATCAGAGCAAGTCTGGGACCCAGTGCCGTCCCCCATTTCAGATGAATTTTGGAACCCACAATTGCCACGGCCTCCTTGATTAGTAAAAATTAATTAAATTATTCTTACTTAGAGCAAAGTGAGTGCACCTAACGATACAGATGTGAGGGCCTTACCGTGGCATCATTCGTCACGTCATATCCAGATTCCAGTGGATACAGCAACTTTGCCTTCGGACTTTGCTGCCATTGAAAACTGCAGCAAAGAACCTGTCTACAAGCTCATGATTGAAATACAGATATAGACCCCAGGAGCAATATTTAATGCATGACAACCAATTGTTACTGTAACATAAAGCAAGACATCAAGCTCAATCCCTGCTCTCCCTGCAGTCAATGGAAGTTTTTCATCGTTCATTTAAATGGAAACAGGATTAAGCCTGTTATCTGGCCTCCAGTGAAATAACAGAAAGGAACATAAAACAAGCACAGCACAAGGGGAATCCTTTCCTGCAAAGCACTTCATCAATCTTTCAAAACCTAAAATGCCCCCAGGGACCCATTGCTAGCTGGCTGTCTCGCCCTAAATGGAGGTGTAACTCTTTATGCCTGAAGACTCGTTACTCATCCTACCCACAAAGAGCACACTAACACTTTAAGAGGCTTCCCTGAAAACAGTCCAGAAAATGTTCTTCTTATAAAGATCAGTGAGAACCTCTCTATTACCCTCTGTGGAGTCCATTGCTTTAAACGTAAATCAAGCAACATTGGTTTTACAAAGCTCCAGCAAAATTTTCTGTCATTTTGGGACCATACGCCATTGATACCTATGTCAACTACACATAACAGGTAATAAATATGGGTTTTAGTCACACTATTGTGCAGTTGCATTCCTTCTTCATGAGAAGAGTCTGGCAGATATCAGTATTTATACACAAAGTCATGAGTGTCGCTTCTAGAACTTGCCTTATTTTCCAAAGAATACACAAAAGTTACTGAAAAAATAGGTATGTGTTGGAGAAGATTCATCAAGTTTCACATACCTTTCCAAATATTACTAATTCCGCTATTGATTTTTTATATTGCATTAACACGCCAGTCGTCAGACTCATCCACCTGGGTTTCCACAATAGGCGATTAGGTGCAAAAAGATAAAAACTGCATCATGGAAGGGTCTTAATTACAATATTGTTCGTGTTTATGTGTAACATCTACTCCAATGTGCTGCAGTATGCTCTAGGGCAGATTTGAGACATCTTATTTATCTGTGGAGGGCAAGGGGCTCTTCCTAGGGACCCCTTTATAACCAAATCCTAGTATCCACCCCTATTGATTCTGAAAACATTTTATCCTCAGTGCTTTACATCTGTGGGATGGCAAACCTCTGCATCAGGACCACTTGTTTGCCTGAAGTTAAAGCAAATCAGCTTAACTTCGTATATGATTGAAGCAGACTGCACTGGGAAATCCTTCATTCACAGCTGGTACTTAAAATCCAGCATTCATCCTTGAGATTTATAGAACATTGTTTCAATATTGCAAAGATATAAACTAAAAGCATATATATGTCCGCAGGCAAAACTGTTTGCTTCATTTGGTGTAACCCATTTTGACCCACTGTCTTCCATCTCTTCGTTTAGAATCGGTCTTCCCAATTAGCAGAATTAGCTAATTTGGAGTTAGCCCTTCTTGAAAGGGTTAACTTTGACCCTTCTTGCCCAGCCTCGGCGAGAGTGGGCAGCCAAGCACAGCGCCTGGGCTACGTGGCGTGCCCGGGCTGGCCACACAGATTGGCTGTATCCTCCTTGCTTTGATAGCTACGGTGTCAGCAAGCACTTCCAGCCCCAAACAAGTCACATCAAGCTTAAAGGTAACAGTTAAGGTAGAGAGACCACTGCATTTGGGGAGAGCAGTTGGGGGTAGCAATGAGGCTGCACTTCAAGACAGTGCTGCAATGAAGGCGGCTTCATCCAGAAATGTCTCTCCTCTTCCATCTGTGCAGAACTTGAAAAATAGTCCTTTTTTCCTGGCTTTTAGTAAATTCATCATTACCAAGGTCTCATAGCCAAAAAAGAGCCACAGAGGAGTATGGAAAAGATAACCACAGGGAGTCATATGAAAAATATCTGTATTTCTTACAAATTATGAGACTTAAATGGAATGGGGCTGCTTGACATTACCTGGCTGACTGCAAGTAATTACATAGGAGGAGGAAACATAGGGGGAGATAAAAATGACAGAGAAGGTTGGGAGAGGGGGAGCCATGGGTCAGGGAAAAGTCCTCTTGCTTCACTCTGCCTAGCCCAGTGGGTTATCCAAATATACAGGCAAAAAGCTCAGGATGGAACCACAAAAGACCTGTCATGGAGAGTAAACAGAAAAAAGGGAGTAAATCTTAAAGTTTGGAGGCAAGTCTTTGGTAGAGAGGCTTTGAAGGTCTCCAAGGCCTTTCTTTCCTGTCCCAGATGGAGAAAGAGATGAGAGGCCAAGCTGTACTGCTCGTTCATTGACCTGCCTTCTCTACTTACAAGGTATCTTCTTATGAATAAAACTTTTGCAGAGCATGGTACTGACT